GCGCGCGCGCGCGCGCGCGCACACACACACACACACACACACACACAAAATATATCTTTTTTTAAAAAAAAATCCATTATTGCAGCTGGGCATTGGTGACACACGCCTTTAATCCCAGCACTTGGGTGGCAGAGGCAGGTGGATCTCTGTGAATTCGATGCCAGCCTGGTCTACAGAGCAAGTTCCAAGACAACTTCCAAAGCAATACAGAGAAACCCTGTCCTGAAAAAAAAAAAAAATCCATTGTTGCTGGGTGGTAGTGGCGCACACCTTTAATACCAGCACTCTGGAGGCAGAGGCATGTGGAATTCAAGGCTAGCCTGGTCTACAGAGTGACTTCCAAGAAAGCCAGGGCTACAGAGAAACCCTGTCTCCAAAAAAATCCATTATTAAAAACATTGGGGGGGTACACCTGAGGAGTATGTGGGGGAAAGAATGGGTGGGAGTGATATAAATATAGTACTCATGTATGAAGTTATCAAAAAAATAAAAAAGAACAAAAACCAATACGTGTTTATTTAGTATACTCTTATTATTTATTTATGATAAACACTAATATATGTTACCTGCAGTACATAATATATGTGTATGATGAATATGTAACATGTACATATATTTCTGTATCTGGATATAAATAGATATGTATATACACCTAGCAAGGAGAAAACTCTACGTCTATGTTCTAAGACATAGAATTTACACCTTGCTTTTCCAGCAAGCTAACAGTGAGTCAGTTTCCTCAGTGCTGGAGCCAGGTTAGAGTCCCTGTGACAAAGACACACAACCTTAGCAGTAACAGCCACATGACTTTAAAAGTGAGTGCAAGCTCACTTTCTCACAGTAGACAAACTGTAGCAGAATCTACAAACTTGACCTCAAAAGTGACCTCTGAGGACCACCAGGGTGACAAACAAAACTTCTGTGATTTCTTTGCAGACCTTTCCTGTGAGTCTATCGAATTATGTTAACAAGAGAATGAGCAGGTGGAAGGTGAGGCAGGGCAGAGCTTTGTTCACCCTCAATCCCAATCCAACCACCACACTTCTTAGTCCTTCCCATCCTTACCCACAGCATATAAAGGAGACCTCCCCTTTATATTTAAGTGATGCTTTTTTGCAACTTTGTAGTTGGGCCAACAAGATGTTACAGTTGATGCTTTTTTCTCAACAAATACAGTTACATTTTCTTTCCTCAAACTGATTTGTCTATTTCTTTCTGGGTATCAAAACCATAGCCTGGGCCGGGTGTTGGTGGCACACGCCTTTAAACTCAGGAGGCAGAGGCAGGCGGATCTCTGTGAGTTTGAAGCCAGCCTGGTCTACTGAGTGAGTTCCAGGACAACCTCCAAG